CTAACCCTCCTTCCCCACCTCTCAGCTAACCTTTCCAAACCTGCATGCAACTAGGACAGCTGAGTCCCCTTTTGTGGTGGTATCTGGGTCTTTCCAAGACCAAACCTGCCACTGAACTCAGGATTCCAACCCCACATATCACCCTTGGAATGCCACCTGCAGATCTGTGCACCCGGGTGGTCCCCTGACCTGAGCCCGGGACCCTTCATATGTAGGATGATGACTATGTTACATAATTCATACAGTTGTTGTGAAGAATAAATGAGACCACTTGTAACTTAGCACAAGGCTGGCACATAAAAAACCTCCAGCAAATGGCAGCTGTTTACTATTTTTAAAAATTCCTGAGGCTGCATGAGGAGGGCTCCTGGGGAGCAGGTAGTATTCTTTTTCTTGATTTGGGGGCTGGCTGCATGGGAGTGTTTAGTTTGTGAAAAAAACAACAGCTGTACACTTATGTATACTATGCTGCATGTATCTCAATAAAAAGTTACAAAAAAAAAAAACCCATCCACATGCCTGCTAGTGATGACAATCATCATAATTACACGCATATAAAATCCCTGTGGCTGTGTAGACAGTCTTCCAAAGTCTAGAATAGAGTTATTGGCATCTTTTTTTTTTTTCTTTTTATTGTGATTTGGATGAAAATTTACAGAGCAAATACACTTTCCATACAGCAGTTCACATACACTCTGTCTCATGACATTGACCACAATTTACCACAATACAACATCTCCCCTCCTACTTCCTCCCGATAGTTACCTCTTCCCTGTGTCCAACCCTCCATGCACTCTTGCCCCCTGAGCTGTCTCCCTGTGCATAAGCAACCCTTCTTTCTCCCATGCTTGTTCTCTCTAAGGAGTGTATCTACTTCAGGTAAATGTTCAATTCATATGCCTGTCTATTGTTTGGCTGGAAGCCACAGGCGTGCATTCAATTCCAGACCTGAAGGGCAGCTAGGGGCCATAGTCTCAGTGGTTCCACCAGGCTCTATTGGGCCAGCAAACCTGGTCCCCCCCTTTTTTTTCCAAATGATTTTGAGTTTTGTTCCACATTGTTCTCCCTCTCTATCCAGGATCTCCTACATAGAACCTCTTCCAAGTGGTTGACAGTAGTAGCCAGGCACCATCTAGTTCTTTTGGTCTCATAGTCGTATAGGCTGCAGATCGGAAGGTGTACCAGTCGCTAGGACTAATCGTTGCCATAAATTTTTGGTTTTCTTCATTCTTCTTGGCTCTGGACAAGGAGAAACCCATCGTTGCATCTAAATGGCAGCTTGCAAGCTTTTAAGATCCCAGTCACTACTCACCACAGTAGGAGGTGGAACAATGTTTTGTGTAGTATGTTATGCCAATTGAGCTTGGTGTCCTCTGTGACTATGGTCTCGAGCCCACAGGTTTAACCACTCGGTCCCTCTGCGATGTGGCTATGATCAAGCAGTGACTACAACCTTGCCCCTTGTCAGCTCCATTATACACCTGGGAATTCAGATCATACACATACACATAAAGTTATAGGACCACTGTCTGCCAACCCTATACACGTTCTTGGGTGCACTCCCCACTTCATAGACATACCTAATATTTCAGCCTGTCCACCCATCTATCCATCCATATACCCGTGTTTGCCTTCACTGAGTTATTGGCATCTTATGGGAGTAAGATCCCACAGAATGCAGAAATTATAGAACAATATCATTAATATCACATGCAAGTAAGATCTTACTGGAGATAATTCAGAAACATTTGCAGCAGTATATTGACAGAGAACTTCCAGAGGTTCAAGCCGGATTCAGAAGAGGACGTGGAACAAGGGATATCATAGCTGTTGTCAGATGGATCTTGGCTCAAGGCAGGGAATACCAGAAAGATGTTTACTTGTATTTTATTGACTATGCAAAGGCATTTGATTGTGTGGATCATGACAAATTATGGATAACATTGAGAAGAATGGGAATTCCCGAGCACTTGATTGTACTCATGAGGAATCTGTACCTTGACCAGGAGGCTGTCGTTCGAACAGAACAAGGGGACACTACGTGGTTTAAAATCAAGAAGGGAGTGCGTCAGGGTTGTATTCTGTCTCTACACTTATTCAATCTATATGCTGAGCAAATAATCCGAGAAGCTGGACTATATGAAGAAAAACGTGGTATCAGGATTGGAGGAAGAATCATTAACAACCTGAGATATGCAGACGATACAACTTTGCTTGCTGAAAGTGAGGATGACTTAAGGCACCTACTGATGAAGGTTGAAGAATACAGTCTGCAGTATGGATTACGTCTCGATATCAAGAAAACAAAAATCCTCACAACTGGACCAATGAGCAGCATCACAATCAATGGAGAGAAGATTGAGGTTGTCAAGGAATTCACGTTGCTTGGTTCTACAATCAATGCCAACGGAAGCAGCAGTCAGGACATTAGACGACGTGTAGCATTGGGAAAGTCAACTGCGAAGGAACTGTTTCAAGTGCTGAGGAGCAAGGATATCTCATTGAGGACTAAGGTGCGCCTGACACAAGCCTTGATATTTCCAATCGCCTCGTATGCATGTGAGAGCTGGACAATGAATAAGGAAGACCAAAGAAGAGTTGATGCTTTTGAGTTGCGGTGCTGGCGAAGAATGCTGAAAGTACCGTGGACTGCTAAAAGAACTAACAGATCTGTCCTGGAGGAAGTGCAGCCAGAATGCTCCTTGGAAGCAAGAATGGCCAGACTTCATCTCACCTATTTTGGTCATGTTGTAAGAAGGGACCATTCCCTGGAGAAGGATGTCATGCTTGGTAGGGTGGAGGGTCGACGAAAGAGGGGGAGGCCTTCAATGAGATGGATTGATACGGTGGCTGTGATGATGGGCTTAAGTATAGCAGGGATTGTGGGGCTGGTGCGGGATCGGGCAGTGTTTCGTTCTGCTGTGCATGGGGTCGCTATGAGTTGGAAATGACTCGATGGCACTTAACAACAACAACAACATGGGAGTAATTCAGTTGCTTTTGACAGGTGGCATATTCCCAGAGGCCTGAGAGTTGGGGTAGGGGATATTCTAGGGAAGGAGTGGGCTTTTCAAGGAGGCACTTTCCCTGTTACAGTGACCTCTCTTTGTCCTTGGGGAGGTACAGTGTGAGCAGGGCTGCCTCTCATCTTCCTTCCCTCACCCTCTAAGAAAGCTGAAGAGTCAGGCTTCAAGACTGTCTGTTATCATAAAACCACAGGAGAGAGAAACCTAGACTTGGTGCTTACGAGAGTTTCCTGGGCTGGCCCCTAACGCTCAGGAGACATTCTTTCCCAACCACCAGGAGAGCACTGACAAGGAAAACTTAAGGCACTTGTGAGGGAGGGGGCAGGCAAGTCTTGCTGACCCAGGCACATCATTTTCTTTGGAGTCTAGATTTTTCTGGAGGACCCTCACCATTCACTCTGTCTCAACCTAATTAAGCAGTACTTGAAGACCATAGGGAAATCTGACCCATATTTATTCTTTCTTATGGAGTCACTGGAGCTCTGGTAGCGTAGTGCCTAAGGCACTTGACTGCAAACCAGAAGGCTGGTGGGCAAACCCACCAGTCACTCCTTGGAGGGAAGGCTGGGCAATCTACTTCCATAGGGATACTGCCTCAGAAACCCAAGGAGGTGTTGCTACGAGTCAGGCCGACTCGACGGCACATAACAACAACAACATGAGTTATTAAATGTAGGATTTGTAGAATGGGTCACTCTCATTCTTGAAACAACCCCACTGCCTGTTGTTCCTACTGGCCACATTTAAAATGCACGCATTGCACTCATTCACAAGTGAGTGAAATTGCTTCTCCTCTAATCTAACAGAGATTTCAGCCACATGCAAATTTCTATTATGGGGAAATATCTCCATGGACTTTACCAGTTGGGCTGTTTAATAGTTTTGAAAACAGAAGGAGCTTGTTTGATGACCTTCAGTGATAGCTTGGCCAGTGCAACTTTTGAAGAAAATCTCAAGGCAGACATAATGTGGGTAGCCAAATCCTGGGCCAATCTTTGAAATTACAGATTTGTTGGTGAGGGATGCCGGTGCTTCCACAAGCTTTAAAACCAGTAATTGACTCTGTTACTGTGGTATCCTCCAAAAACATCCTTGGACATTATTGCCATTATTGGGTGCTGTCTGTCTCCTGCAGAGCCATTGGGTGGGTCTGAACAGCCAACCTTTTGATTAGCAGCTGAACACTCAACCATTTTCACCATCAGGCCTCCTTTCCCTGGACATTTTGTTTTGTTTGTTATCGAGTCAGCTCGGACTCATAGGGACTCTATGAGGGTACAACAGAATGAAACACCATCCGGTCCCCATGGCTACTGTGTCAATCCAGCCTGCAGAGGGTCTTACCCTTCTTGCTGACCCTCTGCTTTACCAGTCATGACATCCTTTTCCAGGGAATGGCCCCTTCTGACAACATGATCAAAGTAGGTGAGATGAAGTCTGGCCATTCTTATTTCCAAGGAGTAATCGGCTACATTTTTACCAGGATAGATTTGTTTGTTCTTCTGGCAGTTCACAGTACTTTCAGCATTCTTCACCAATACTACAATTCAAAGGCATCAACTCTTTAGTCTTCCTTATTCACCGTCAAGCTTTCACATGCATGTAAGGCTATTGATAACACCATGGCTTGAGTTAGGTACACCTTAGTCTTCAAAGTGACATCTTTGCTCTTCAACACTTTAAAGAGGTCTTTTGTAGCAGATTTGCCCAGTGCAATATGACATCTGATTTCCTGACTGCTGCATCCGTGGGTGTTGACTGTGGATCCAAGTAAAATCATGTGTCCCTGGGCATGTGGTGTCATAATGTACTGCCCTGGGTCATTCAATTTTCTTTTCTCAAACTATATTGCTATAAATCACCAAATGTTCTTTGGGCATTTCAGCTATCTAGAAAGGCATAGACAAAAAAAACACAAGAATCCTTTCCTGATATGAAAGCATGCATCCTTTCCGCCTCCCTCTCCAAACTTACGAGCTGTTCAATATTTGAAATTTTTCTCCTTTGTGAAAACTCAGGTCATCTTCTGTCCGTGCTTCATAGTCATAAAGGGCCACAAACAGGGTCACTCCTGAGAAAACAAAATCAAAAGAGGAGATGTTATCATGTTAAGGGGAATTAAGTCCAACGATTCAATCTTCACTAGAACCTCATTCATTCTCCAAATCTACCTCTCAACAGCACCGAGAACATGATGCAGTGCTGTAATTAATGTGTGAAAACCAGAGTCACAGGGTTTCCTTTATGCCTTGTCTTTGTAGGGGAAGTATGATTCAATCTGACTAAAACCTGGAGCTGAGGGGCTTCTCCCTCTCTAACCTTTGAATGAGTCCTTGGGTTGAGGCAGATATTAACACTACCTCTAAAACCAAACAGCAGCAGCAGTGTCAGGGTTCAGATTTGCAGAGCTCTGCAGCAATTACAGACACCCTTTATCTGACACATGTTCTCCTCCACTTGGGGAGCCTGTGTTAGGCTCTGGGTAAAATGAATCATTCTTTCCTCTAGTATAAGACTAATGTAGACTATAACAGGAAACTTCCCCTAAGGCTTGGGAGGAGACTTCCTCTATAACCTTCAATATCAGTTAGAGGATGTATTGTCTTTAGCATCTGCATTCCTTGCAAAGTTTTAGCTGCTTGGTCCTACTACTCAAAATGGACCCTTCTCCTTCTTCTCCTTGAACCCATCTACTTTTGTACTACGCTCACTCTTGCTCGCATCCACCTAAAGTCTTCTCATTTGGTTGACTCTCCCAAAGGGACTCTTTTACTCTGCAGATTTGCTATCAAATGGAAAAAATGTCCAGCTTCCCATTTGGCCTGGGATTTCCTCCAGGCAGTGGACAGAATTCTAAGAGACCCCCAGTGATTCCTGCCCCCTGGTATTCACACCCTTGTGTAATCCCCTCCTCTTGGGTATATTGCTTCTAACCAACAAAAAATGGCACAGGTGATGGAATGTCACTTTATTGTCTATTGCAACCTTGGCCTGCACACTTTGATGAAGCAAGCTGCCATATCAGAGAGGCCCACATAACCAGGAACTAAGGGTGGACTCTGGCCAGCAAGGAACTAAGGCCCTTAGTCCAACAGCCTGTGAAGAACTGAATCTTGCCAACACTACATTGGTTTGGAAGCAGATTCATCTCAATTGAACCTTGAGGTGACTATAGCCCCAGTGACAAACCTTGGCTGCAACTTGGTAGAGACCTTGAAATAGAGGTGCCGTTAAGTCATTCCTAGATTCCTGATCCACAGAAACTGTGAGACAATAAATGTGTATTGTTTTAAGCTACTAAATTCTGTGGCAATTCTTATGCAGGAATTAGTAACAACTATACTCCATTTCTCTGCTCACTGGATTCTCATTTTTATTTTGACAACATCAAAGTGCCTGCTATAGCCTAAAGAACTCACAAAATGGAGCCTGCCCTTTCACCAAGCTGCCATTTTGTCATGTAGGTAGTTCAAGGGAACAGATGTGCCTGTGGGACTATTCAGGAACCAGAGAGGGAGGTGGGCTTATCTTCCACCCCATCCCCAGTGGGACTTCCTTATAGGAAAGCTGGCATTCAAAAAGTCTGACCATGTAAAATAGGGCTCCTTTGGCAACCATCCCCTTTTCTTTCACTTTCTTTGAAAGGTTAGAAAAAAGACTGGCTTAATACAAAAATGTGGGAGCCTGTAAGGTCACGCCTATTCCCATTTAACACTCTATTAACAGACTCCCTTCATTATATAATTTAAAAACAACTCCAAGCCAGCTCCATTGTGTGGAAGATCAGGCACATGAAGACCCACACTCCCACTCTTTCCTCACATCAGCTGACAAGTTCTCACTGAGCCTTTTATGCTTTAGGGACTGAGGGGAGAATTAAAGGACGTTACAGAGAAACACAGACACTGTTCCTGGCTTTAAAGGACTGAAATCAGAGAGGAGGAGAAAGGACATGCATAGATAGTAAAGTCAAATAACTGAAGACAGAAAAATCCTCCAACATTTAAGAGTACTGTCAGTGTTTTAACTTGCAAACTCTATAAGGGATCAGATGACCTCTTACACTAAGATTGTCCCTGGCTGCAGCGTAGACCCACATGTTCAAGGCAAGGAGCCCTCTTGACTGACTTTAATGAATGATACCTGCAGAAACAGGGATTCATAGCCAGCACTCATGATCAAATGAACAAGGATGACACCTGTGTCAGCAGAAAAAGAACGAGTCTGGGCTGGCAACACTCATGTTTTTCACAGTAGGCACAGGGGTTTTTGCTTGGTTCCTTTTTGGCTTTTTTCTCTCCTGCATTCTCAAGAGACATATTGCCCTAGACTGTCTCTTTCCTTCCTCTCTTTCTTCCAAGGTTCCTTCTGAGAAGGCAAGAGAAATGGGTGAGCGTACTAGCATTCATTTTTGGGTGGTGCAAATGGTTAAGTGCTTGACTACTAACCAAAAGGTTGTCAGGTCAAACAGACTCAGAGGTGCCACAATCTACTTCCAAAAGATCACGATGGGGTCACTATGAGCAGAAGTGACACGAGGGCAACCTTTTTTTTTTTTTTTTTTAACCTAACATTTATTCACTCATGCAAGGTGTGAGTTGAAGGGAAAGCTGGACCCATCATAACAAAAATGATAAGCCTAAATCTTTTTTTTCTACTGGGCAGAATGTGATATGCTAGTTGAAGTGAAGTAGCTAGTACCCAAAGGCACTGGGTCAGGTCCCCCTGATATAACTACAGTGCCAGATGTTGGGTGCAGAGGTAAGAAAGTCTCTGGTAATGCCTCGGTAGTGTTAACTTCTCAAGTTAAAAGGCACAATGTATAAGATAGTAGATATAAGACATTTGCTTCCAAATGAGCTTAGAGTATAATGACTAGTGTTCCATTCTTTTAAACTTTTGTAATGTCAGATATCTAGTTATCATGGTTCACATATTGGGAGAGTATCTGGAATACTAAGGACACATGAGATAACTTCCAAATATTCTAGAAAACATATGCCTGAGAACATATGCCAGGTATTTTACAAAATACTAGCTAAGTCGACAAATACACACAACAGTAAAACATAGCCTTGTGGTGTGAAAGAAAACTTCAAAAAAATGTGAATGGTCTCTTAAGGATACTTAAAATCAGATTTTAAAATAGATAAGATATATAAAAATACTTGATAACCTCAGTCATGGAAAACGATGGGGAGTCAAGAGAGAGAGAGTCTGTGAAGACAAATTACCAGAATAATGCAGCCAAATGACCCCTTGACTTGGCAGCGAGAGGCAGGCTGAAGGTTAGGAAGATGAGGGAGGAGGTGCTCTTCAGTGGTTCTTAAACAAGGGGAGGGTGTTGCATTAATATCTAAGGAACTCAAAATGCACCTGCCAGACTCAGTCCTGGAGCTTTAGAGCCAAGATTCCATGATGGGGTCAGGCATCTCTGTTTTGAAAAAGCTGCCTGGGTTATTCTGAGCTAGCTGGTCAAGGTTGAGAGCCACTGGCTTAAACTGCCTCTGTAGCATGCTGTACCTCACTAACCTTAACCTTAGTGTAGAATTCCCACAAAGCAGTAGTTGTACGTGCCCCTTCCCCTGGTGCCCCTATAGCCAGCATTTTGATTTGTACATCAAGCTCTAGCTTCTGATGATCCCTCCTCTGACAGGGTAGTGGTGGTATTTCAGTGGTAGCATTCTCATCTTCTATGCAGGAGGCTCAGGTTCGATTCCCGGCCAACACACCTCCTACACAGTCTATTAGTGAAGGTGTGTGTTGCTATGATGTTGAACAGTATCAGTAGACCTTATAGACTGTGACTAGGAAGAAAGTCCTGCCTATCTGCTTCCAAAAAGCAGATGATGAAAACTATGGATCACAACAGTGCAATCATAACCAATCATGGGGGCGGCACAGGACCAAACAGAGTTATGTTCCATTGGGTATGGAGTTGCCATGAGCCAGGGGGCTAATTCAACTGCAGCTAACAATGACACCTGACAAAGAATAGTTAGAAACTGATTAAAATGTAAACAAATTCCTTAGTCACAGGGAGCTGACTAGAGCATAAATGTTCAACTGACAAAAAAAATTAAGAGCAGTTGTCCCTACTTGCTTTCTGCCCTCTGCCACCATTGGGACTTACCTGTTCCTCCTCTTGTACGCAACGTTCCAGTATGAGACGAAGAATTCACGCCCCCAAAGACAGTGAGTCCTTGGCCCCCAGCTGTGTGGAAGTTGTTGTAGTTGGGGATGGAGGTCACGCCAAAGCTGGGGTAGTGCTGAGGGGTGGGGTCTGTGCCATAGCGGTACCCAGAACTCTGGTTCAGGCTGCCATCCCTCTCCTCCGTCAGTTTTGTTGCTTCTTTGTCCTTACATTGCACACAGCCCATTATCTAAATTCCTGCCAAAACAGAAAGGAGCCCTATGAACTGGGATGCCTCTAGTTGCTGGGTTGCTTTGCTATTAAAGAAGAATACTTTACAATGCTCACTTTCGAATATTTCAGGCCTGTGAGAGGCATGAGGAAAAGCAGTGGCCAAGTGTGATGGTTAGGAGGAATCTCTTAGTTCTTTTTTCTTGACAATCACATTGGTTCTTCATATACTTGGGACAATGAGATCATCAGAGTACAACGTTCACAATACAACAATTTTCCTCAGATGAGGCCCACAACTCTTAAAATCCTGTAATATCACATATCCACTAAAGACAGTCCCCCAATACTTATGTTTTTCTTTAGCCATCTCCAAAAATATTGTATGCGCATAAAAAAAGTAGAAAAAGGGAGTAAAAACATTGCCCTTAACTTATCTCCAAATAACCAAAATTGTATTTTTATATATTACTTTCTAGCCTATTTTCTATGTGAGTCTTCATTTTTCAAAATTATAACTAATCTGCATATAAAGTGTTTTACTTTTTTTTCACTTTTTATACTACAGAAATTTTCTGTTTTGTTATCACTCCCTATGTTTATTATTATTATTTCCTAAAAAAAAAAATAGAGTTATAACAAGATGTTTATTATTTTTAGTGTCTGCATAATATTTCATTGAGTAACTGTATCAATATTTATTGTATAATTACTATATTATTGAAAATTATTTCTATTGTTTATCTGCTCTGAAAGATGCTGTACAATTTTAGGAATAAAACTTGCAGGTTCTAGATTAAAAAAAATAATAATAATGTATGTTCTACAAATGGAACCTATGCATTATTTGAATAAAAACTTCCAGCATGGCAAAAGAAATCTAAGGAAGAGGATGCAGACGAGATGTGCTAGAAAAGGCAGATACAGCACTTAAACAACTCACACACTTCTTCACTCATGGGTACCCACACAACTTTGGTAAATTTTAAGCTGTAAGATGATGATAAGTATCAAAATTAAGAAATAGTTACCAGATAAAAATAAAATTGGCAAAAACTAAGAGGTCCAAGTATTCTTGAAGGATGTCATGATAGTTTAGAGTAACAAAATCATTTAAAGCTGCTAATTAACTTTTTAAATATTTCATTTATGTTTTATTGTTGTTACGAATATACACTGCAAAATATACACCAATTCAACAGTTTCTACATGTACAAATCACTGATTACATTCTTTTGAGTTGTATAGCCTCCTTTTCTGAGTTGTTCCTACCCTACTGACATAAACTCACTGCTACCTAAGAGTTCTAGCTAATTCCTTGAGTTGCTGTTGTCAGTTTTATCCCATATAGATAGTTCTTAAAAAAAGCATAATGCTCAAAGAGGACATTTTTAACTACTTAAGCCGAACTACTGTTTGATTTTAAGAAGACTTTATGGAGTATTTTTGTTTAAGGTTTAAAGATAATTTCAGGGCATTAGTTTTAGGAGTTCATCTACCTTCCACGGCTCTAGAAAGTATGGAGATGAGAATTTGAAATTGTGTTCTTCTATAGAATTTTTGATCAAACTTGTTCAGTAATGTTAGCTGGGCACTATCCAATTCTTCTGCTTTCATAGCAAAGGAGACATTTGTTCATGGGGACAATTACCACATCTCATTTTCTCCTCCTATTCCTCACTCTCCCTTCCTCTATTGCGCTAGGTGAATAGAGACCAATTATTGGGCTTACAAGTTTTTCAGATCCTAGGAACTACATGATGAACTAGAGGTAGAACAGAAGCACTGAACACGTTATTAGGCCAATTAACAGGGATGTCCCATGAAACCATGACCTTAAATCTCCAAACCAAGGAACCAAATCCTATGAGATGTTTGGTTATACATAAGCAGCCTCAGCATAAAGCTGCTAATTAACTTTTCAAATTTCCATTAGCTTTTACCATTTTTCAAAAACATTTAAAAAGATCATCCCCAATCTAGAATTAGTAATGGATTAACAACTTGAGTCACTGTCACCACACCCTCCTCCAAACCTACTTCTAGGATTCTCATCTCAGTAAATGACACCACCATTCACCCAGTAGCTCAAGTCAGAATCCTGGGACACATCCTTATTTGCTCTTCTTTGTTTACTTCTCACTCTTCCTGTCTCACATTCTACTATCTAAACATGCTAAAGTTTTCAGTTCCTTAAAGGTTCCATTTTTTCACTTATTGCAGGCCTTGGAATAGGGCCTTGAACACTCTTTCCCCATTCTCTTTGATGTACAATGGATCCTCATGTCCCAGGTGAGACTTCCTCTGGACAGCCACCTCTGATTCTCCTGTTCTCCCCGCTCCACCTTCAGCTGGGCTAATGCTCTTTCTAAGGGCTCCCACGGCATCTTCATTTTCCTCATCATGGCCACCATCATGCCATATTAAAATGGGGCTTGTCCACTTATCTCAGAGCCCAACAGACTGTGAGCTCCAGGAACAGGCTCCTGTCCATTTCCATAACAGCTGTACTGCTGATGCCTGTTGTTGTTGTTGTTATGTGCCGTCGAGTCGGCCCCGACTCATAGCGACCCCTCCTTGGGTTTCCGAGGCAGTATCACTACGGAAGTAGGATTGCCCAACCTTCCTTCCGAGGAGTGGCTGGTGGGTTTGAACCGCCAGCCGTCTGGTTAGCAGGCAAGTGTCTTAGCCACTATGCTACCAGAGCTCTGATGCCTAGCTCACAGTAAAAAGTAAAACAAATCAAACCATTTGCTTTGAGCCACTTCCATGCATAGTGACCCCCACATGTGCCAGAATAGAACTGCACTCCATAGGGTTTTCAATGGCTGTTATTTTGGAAGCAGACCAACAGGACTCTTCTGAGGAGCCTATGCGTGGGCTAGAACCTCCAACCTTTTGGTTAGCAGCTGAGAGCATTAACTGATGCACCACCCAGGGGACTAAATAAATAACAAATGAATGATTCCCTTAGCCTATTATGCTTCTCTTTCACTCCTTCTTTCTCTCTGCATCAAACCCAGTGCTCTTCTCTCAACTCTTCTTCCAGGACTTTAATCAGCAGGGTCTCTTCTGCAATTTTTGAATTTATTGATGCATTTAAGAAGTGGAGGAGATTCAGAAAGACAAGGCAAGTTGGCCAGACCACCCCACATTGGACTGCAATACCCTGTCAGGCTGACAGGGGGCAGGATAGGCTATGGATGTCCCTCCCAAAACTTTGAAAAGCAGCCTATTTAGGACCAAAGAACCAAGTAAGAAACACATGACATCATGCGTAATTACATGTATTCACTGGGGAGGGCACAGCTAGCACAGCAAAGGAAGAGACTTGAGCCAGTTCTTCTGTATTATCTTGCAAATCGAAGTATGTGTGCTGGGGGTGGGGGGTGTGACACATCAGATATGTATACTCCTGGGGCCCTGATCAGAGCACAGCTTTTCTGTTGGACTGAGTCATAGAAGCAGTATCAGACTACTCTAAAGCTCTCTTGCATTACATATTTCAATAAATACTTATTGAATTGAATGTCAGTTCTTGAGAATGGAATGTTTGGAAACGAGCCGCCTACTTACTGCTTGAGCTGAGATCATCAAATCTGGAACACATTTACACGTAAATCACTTGAGATTAACTTAAAGTGTACCGTGTCCAGCATGATCCTTAAACTATGATAAATGAATATGATTGTAAAATGTTTTCACAATAGGAAATGCAAAATATCTCCAAGGCATGATTTATAGAAGGAATTTCATCACTTGTTGCTGGTGTTGCTTCATAAGACTGATAAATACGTTGCTCACTTTATATTAACTAATAATGGAATGTTTCTCCAAAACCAAACCAAACTCCTGGTCACTGAGTCAACTGCAACTCATAGTGACCCTTTTGGGCAGAGTATAACTGTCCCCGTAGGGTTTCCAAGGCTGCAAATCTTTAGAAGCAGACTGCCTCATCTTTATCCCTCAAAGCAACTCTAAGTATGAACTGGTGACCTTTGGGTTAGCAGCTGAGCTCTTTCATCACTGCACCACCAGGGCTCCTGGACAGTTGCTCCCAGCTCCTAAAAAGACCAAATAGAAAACAATTCTTGTCCCAGTTGTTTTTTCTTAAAAGGGATTTTACTGACCTACTGCAATTGGAGGATGTGAGAACTGAATCACAGAATCATATCATTTACACCAGTGATCCTCAGATGGGGGTCATGTTGACTCCAGAAGACATATTAGGCAAAGTTTTGAGACATTTTTGGTTGTTAAAACTCAGGGTGAGGAGTGCTACTGACATCTAGTAGGAGAGGCCAAGGATGCTGCTGAACATCCCATGATGTACAAGACGATCCCCTATAACAAAGAATTACTCAGGCCCCCATGTCATTACTATCAAAGTTGAGAAAACCCTGATCTCTACGGAAGAAACAACCTATGTCTCTATCTTTGAAAAATTATAACAGCTTTCTCCCTCATAAGCTTCTGTTGTTGGTTGGTTGCTGATTCTGTTTTTGGTTTGTGACTCTGGAGAGACCCAATGTGTTATAGAGTAGAACTGCCCCATACGGTTTTCTTGGCTGTAATCTTTACAGAAGTAGATTGCCAGGCCTACTTCTGCAGTGCCACTGGGTGAGTTCAAATCACCAACCTTTTGATTAGGAGCTGAGTGGGTGCTGGTTAGTGCTATCCAGGGATCAATGTCTCCCTTACATGCAGATGATTAACATGCAACCCAGAAAGCCTTTCTTAGGACAGTGGGCATGCTAGGTGCAAGGATACAATAACAAACATTGACATGAGATGCTGATACTTCCCTAGAAGTCTGTTCACTGTGATAGAGAAATAGAAGCAACAAACCAGTCAGAATTCTCATGACAAACTACTCTTCTATAGAAGAACCACCAAACTAAGAAAAAACAACTCATTAAAAACATGACTAACAGCTTATATATGATTTTATGAAATAATGGAAGGAAAAAAATCGTTACATTCTTCAAGAGTAGGGATTATTTCTGTTTGTTGTTTTACTATTGCAT